ATTGCTAGGTTTGTCCCTATTTTACCCAGCACTGGGTTGTATTTAACCCAGCATTTTTTAGAGTGTACTTGTGCACAATGCACTTTTCTTAATATTAAGTCTAAAATGTGTTTTAATGTCATTGTGTGATCTTTCAATATTATCAGACATTAAATGCAAAATATTTAAAGTGTACCTGAAGTATACTTGCAATAGTTCCACTTTATGTATGTCTTTAGTTGTACTTCAGCATTACTTCTGCACAATTAAAGTGCATTAAGTACAAAATTAGTTGTTCCAATTTAGCAGACTTAGTAAGTATTCCAGTTTAGTATACTAAAAGTACAATTGCAGGACATTTTATTAAGTACATAAATATAAAAATGTATTTGTAGTATACTTAACCTGAAATAAATGAATTTCAAATACATTTAAGTTTATTTATTTTTCACTAGGGTTGTAAAGTTTTTTAAATATTACTGGGGTATTTTAACATATTTTCACACTCTGTTGCAGATTGAAAATTGTAAATGATGCATTTTGAATACTTTTTTGTCATTAAAACCAAAACTTTTGACATTTGACACTTTTCTTAGTGATCAAATTGTACGTGATGGAAAGGTTTTATTGATTCTTTTGAACGCATCATCATCAGATGAGGTAATATTACTTTTTTTTTTTTTTTCTCAAGATGCCGGGCTGTGTTTAAAGTTGAGTTTCAAGTCCTATTTGTGGAAAGTAAAGTGCCATATTTTTTTTAGCAAAACTCTTCATGCACTGCAATGCCATATGGTTTTGACTGGGATTAACACATCAAAATATCAACTTGCATTTAGATTGAGTCTTGAATGCAGTTAGCATGCAAATGAACCATATAGATAAGAAAATATCTGATACAAAACTCTTTACAACGCTGACCCTCTGGGCATCTGCGAATGAGGAAAGATTTCAAACTACATGTGTGAGTTCGGCACACTTTCTGAAGAAACAGCACAGTAGATTATTATACTTTGGCAGGGATTTCACCCTGATTGTCATTTAAGCAACGTGGAAATGGTGAAATGGAGTGCAGTTGATGTGATAATTGCAAACAGGTGGCTGATTGACCAGAAAGTAGTGCTTGTTGATGTTATATGTCAGTTATAATGTCATGTGCAGTGGCATCTGTTCAGAAAAATAGTAAACAAACTTTTAAATTATCTGTAAAATGTCTCTTTCAGTCATTTTCCAACCTGTTAGAACTAGAAGTGAAAGTGTTGGCTTGCAGTTGATAATTACTGCTGCATCAGTCGATAAAACCGTTTTCAACACAGTCTCAACACAACTTCTTAATGCTCTTTGTGTTTCTGCGTCTGTTATGTGCATCTAGCTGTAACTGAGCTCGGAAAATGTCCCTGGCTTTTGGTCCCAAGATCTGATTTGCATCTTCATGCGTCTCAGTATCTGCTATGGTGGGAAATACTTTTTTTTTGTCATGCATGGGCATCAGATGAAGCATATCTGGCCAAGTTGGTTTTCAAAGAGTTACAAATAATTCCATTCTATTTTTTGACCATTTTCTTTATATTTGAAATGTTAAAGTTTGCATGTCATTTGGAAACATTTTTACTTTTGTAATCTCTATGTCTGAGAGCAACAGCATGTTCAGTGAGAAAAATTGTAGGATCATAGTTGATTTTTGGAATTTCATAGGAAATCAGTAGATCGTACAGGTCATAAATACACTATTGTTCAAAAGTCGGGGGTTGGTAAGGTATTTTAAAATGTTTTTTAAAAGAAGATTCTTCTGCTCACGACAGCTGCATTTATTTGATCTAAAAATATATAATAATAAAAAATAGCAACAAAAATATAAAAAAAAATGTTTTCTATTTCTAAATGTTTTTTAATGTTTTCTATTTGAATATATTTAAAATTTAAATTTAAAATATGTGTATTTTAAAATGTAATTTATTCCTGTGATGCAAAGCTGAATTTTCAGCATCACTACACCAGTCTTCAGTGTCACATGATCTTTCAGAAATCATTCTAATATGCTGATTTGCAAGAAACATTTCCTAGTATTATCAATGTTGAAAGCACAACCGAAATATGCTGCATATTTTTGTGGAAACTCTGAACTGGGTTTCTTTGATGAATACACTTCAAAAGAACAGCTTTTATTTGAAATAGAAATATTTTGTAACATTATAAATGTCTTTACTGTCACAATTTAATGCATCCATACTGAATAAAAATAACTTATTTCAATAAATATTTTTACAGATTTTTGTATTTTTATTTGCAAACATTTTTACTTCTGTAATCTGTCATTCTGAGTGAACAGGATGTTGAGTTAGAAAAAACTGTTGAAAAATGCACTTTTTTTCTGCATTTATTTGACAAAAAAATCTAGTAAAAACAGTAGTGTTGTGAAATATTTTTACAATTTAAAATAACAGTTTTCTATTTGAATATATTTTAAAATATAATTTATTCCTGTGATTCAAAGCTGAATTTTCAGCATCATTACTCCAGTCTTCAGTGTCACATGATCCTTCAGAAATCATTCTAATTTGCTGATTTGCTGATCAAGAAACAGACTCCCATATCCAGGTGTGCTTTCTTACAGTTTCTGTTTTTTAGTTCATCCTCTTTATGTTTCTGTGCATATCTTCATAGCACACTCGGATTAAAATGGTAGGATTATTCAATATTCTGTTTGCTCTTATGTCTCTGTAGAAACTCTCTTGAACTGGTACGTATAGGCGTATGTTCTCACTCCAGGGAGAAGAGAGTATGGGTAATATATGCTGAGTGTGTAGGCATCTCAACACCTCAAAGTAGTAGGAGGGATGAACAGTAGGAGAAAGAGAGAGAGAACGTGTATGAGTTCGTGGAAAGGCTATTTAAGGGCAGTCCTTGTAATTCACAGCTCTCTGACTGAAGTCTCTCATATTAAAGTCTCTCTCTCTCTCCTTCTCGCACACTTCAGCCCAGAGGCTCGGCTGTGGAATACATCACGGACGCTCTCAGATCTTCCAGCACGTGGAGAGACGGAGACAGACGGAAGCTGGAGGTCTGGAACGCTGGACATCCTCACCTCGTCGCTGTTGTTTGATTTGCATCTTCTGCACCTGATTTGCTCGGCTGCAGGGAGGCACTGGAAGCTCCATTCATCGTCACAGGTATCTTTATCCACTTCCTCTGATTTCTATTTTCACTCGTTTTTTTCTTCTTATGGATGCAGTGCTTTTTTTGGACTTTGCATTCACTCTGCTGTTGACCCATAGGAGAACTTCTATTGCTTAGAGATTTCTCTTTCATAGCTCAGGAGGTTGAGTTCTTAATTATGCTACTTTTGGTATCACCTTTATCGCAGATGTTTCTACTACTAAGTTAATTTTGAGATTGCAGACTTTGATTTCTTGGCAGGTCTGAGCAGAGTCTGAGACATTAAGATCTCCTCTGAAACTACAGGAGATGCATGTAAAATGAATAGGTTATATTTCTCAGGAGACTCCTTTTGCTCTTCATGCAGAGAAACAGCTGAGTCATTCAAGAGATCTCATTTTTATTTTCTTCCTAATGTAGTGGAACCCAGAAGAAAATGTTCTTTCTCAGAAGTTCTGCTGAGGAGATTCAATTGCGTTCTGAGTTGTTTGAAGAATCAACTTTGTCTCAAATGTTTCTCATAATGAGTTGAAATAACCATATTGACTTTTGATTGCAGACTTGTAAACTTCTTGACAAGTCTGAGGCCTTAAGATCTCTTCTGATACTATAGGAGAAGCATGCAGACTCCATTTGCTCTCCATTTAATCCCATTGCTGTGTTGGAGAAACAATTGAGACATTAAAGAGATATCATTCTTTTTGGAACCCAGAGGAATAATGTATTTCTCAGAGTTCTCTGTTATTTGAGGTATCAACTTTGTTTCAGAAATTTCTTATATAACTTAAAAGAAGTTATATAAGGGCATGCGGATAGCATGCATCAATTGGTTTTTAGTTGGGAAAAGTAATGAGAACTTTTTGAGTTCATATCGAAATGTAACTTTATTTAGGCAAATCTGAATATATATTGCAGGTACTATTGAATATTTCAACAATGAATGTGTGCTGTATATGCGTACAGTGCACATACAGAGATTAAATGGGTTGTGAAAGTTTCCATGTTCAAGTATATATGAGATATCAAGGCATCATCTTCATGCAGTGAGCATGTACATGTGTGTTCATGTGAGAGACTCTGAAAGACTGATGAAAGGCAGAAACTAGTGCGGTGTCTAACTTTGATATCACCTGGCAAAAGGCACGTATCCATCTGTCAGTCTGTGCATGTCTATATGACATGAGTGAACATCCTGAAAATGACTTGGTCCTGTGGAAAGGAGAGAATGATCAGTACGAAGCAGCTGCTCTGTGTGTATGTATTTAAGTGAAAGACTCCAGGCATTGTGGTTTCTGAGGTTCAGGTGCATAAACAGACCATTACTATTTAATGTGTGACTCTTGCTTTAGCAAATCATTATTATTATAGCTAGTACTTACTGATTTTTTTTTTTCAAAACTCTGTGTTAAACTGTAGTGTACAACTCGTCCTGCACTGTTTGTTACGGATATGAGTGATTCTTCAAATTGTGTGGTCTGTTGATGTGAGGTTTGCTTGGTGATTTTTGCCCAACAGACAATAAAATGGGGGAGGGAGGGGGGGGGCATAACCTAGTGATCTATATAGAAAAAGTCTTAAAGGAATAGTTCACCCAAAAATGAAAAATAGCTGAAACTGCACTCACCCTCAGACCATTCAAGATGTAGATGAGTTTGTTTCCTCATGGGACCAGATTCTGAGAAATTTAGCATTCCATCACTTGCTCACCAATGGATGCTCTGCAGTGAATGGGTGCCATCAGAATGAGAGTCCAAACAGCTGATAAAAACATCACAGTAATCCACAAGTAATCCACACCACTCCAGTCCATCAGTTAACATCTTGTGAAGCCAAAAGCATCAACTTCTGGCCAAAATATGTGTCCATAATCAATAATAACGCTTCCTACAGTGAAAAAGTTCATTTCCTGTTGTCCATCACATCAAAATCCATCAGCAGTGCTTGATCTGTGCAAATTTCTCTCCTGATTCAGACTAGATGACTTTTCACTTGAGAAATCAATATGTGACCCTGGACCACAAAACCAGTCATAAGGGTCCATTTTTTTAAATTAAAAGCTGAATAAATAAGCTTTCCATTGATGTATGGTTTGTTAGGATAGGACAATATTTGGCCGAGATACAACTATTTGAAAATCTGGAATCTGAGGGTGCAAAAAAATCTAGATATTGAGAAAATCGCCTTTAAAATTGTCCAAATGAATTCTTAGCAATGCATATTACTAATCAATCAATAATTTTGACCCATACAATGTATTTTTGGCTATTGCTACAAATATACCCCAGCGACTTAAGACTGCTTTTGTGCTCCAGGGTCACATATTATAGACACAGGACTCTCATTTTGGTTTGCATTGTTGAGTTTTATCTATGTAGAGTGTTTCAAATCAGTTACTTTTAAGGTTTTAAAAAGTAGTTGCCTGATTTTGGAAAGAAGCCTTTATCATTGATGCAACACATGCTTTTATATGAGGAAAATGTGCTGTATTTTTGGAAAGCGGAAAGTAGAGATTTTTTTGATGACACTCAGTGGCCCCATAAATGACAGTACACGGTGTTTTGACTTCTACCACACTATTAAACACAAGTGTGATCTTTTTTGTGGTTTACAAATCATCACTCTGTATGATAATGCAGAATGTATTGGGTATGAATTACTGTGATTAATTTGAATGTTCTGAAGCTCATGCTAAAAACCAGATGGTCTTTTTTTTTTTTTTACCCTGGCAGTTTTATCTGCAGCTTTATGGAAGTGCATCAGGTGAGCACAGTGGGACGTTTGAGGTGAGCGTTTGAGGTTTAAGACCTGAGGAAAGAGTCAAGCCCCCTTCTCCATCCAGCTGAAATGAAAGGGCATAAATTGTCGGAGGTCAGCGGCTGACGGGGGTTTATGATGCTCTGTATTGTGCGGTTCCTCCTGTGATGGTGTGGAAGGAATGATGGGAATGGAGAGAAAGAGAGAATGGAAGGTGTCTGGGTCTGTCAGGACAGCTGGAGTGAGACCGACCCACGGCCTCAGGGCTTCGTTTAAGAAAAAGCAAAAGAACATTGTATGAGTGTGAAATTTGAGGGGGTTTTTTGTTTTTGTTTTTGGTAGACCAATCTGCCATTGATGTGATAATGGTCAATTCATTTATTCCAGGTTGTGTTTGAATAGATTGTCAGAGTGTGAAAAATAAAGAGAACTCATGAAGTTTAGAAAATGAGAATGAATGTGTCATGCAGTGTTATATTTTATAGTATTTTTACTAATATATTAGACTTATCATTTAGAGGACTACAAACAGTGTTGGGTAAGTTACTCTAAAAAGGTAATTAATTAGCTACTAATTACATCTTCTACAGTGTAATTAGATTACTGTACTAATTACTCTCTAAAAAGCATTGCATTACTCATTGCTACTTTTTAAATTAACTACAGAAACTAAAAACAGAAAAAAGAAAAAAAAAATTAGTTTTCAACTAGTTGACAAGGCAAAAATTCTCATTTTAATTTAGTTTAACTTGATGTACTACACTCTAAAAAATGCTGGGTTGTTTCAACCCAACTTTGGGTCAAATATGGACTAACCCAACTTTTGGGTTAAAAATTTAATGTAAAAAATGTAACCCAACAGTTGGGTTAGTCCATATTTGACCCAAAGTTGGGTTGAAACAACCCAGCATTTTTTAGAGTGTATAAATAAACTAAAATTTAAAGAAAAAATGTATAAAAAACTACAATATATAGACATTAAAAAAATATTTAAATTACAAAAACACACAAAAAATGTCAAACTTTAACTAAAATGAAAATGGAAAAATGAAATTATAAAAATACAAAAAAATCTAATTATAAATAAAATCTCTGCCAATGTGAAAATGTATTAACTGTTGGCAGTTTGATCAAGTAATGAGTCAAGATACGATCTGGTTCATCAGTTAAATATTGCATTTTCTTATACAGTATTTTGCAGTGTGCTCTGGGTGTATATACAGCCCATTTTGCGCTATATCGTACATGCAAAAATGTTGTATACTTTCCACAGTATATATGCTGCATACTGCTAAAACAATGTGAGAAGTACGCTGTTCTAAACATTTAAGATGTCAACAAGTCTTTCTATTTGATGCTAGGATAAAAACTAAAGAAATCTAAATCATGTCCAAGTGCAACTTTTCATTCTAGTCAAGTACATTCAGGTGTTGCTGAATAAAATGGATGTCAACAGTGATCTGGTCTGAACAGCTGCACTGCAAACCAGTTATACGGTGTGTTCTAGGGTCTGTGTTCCCATGAGGAATCTTTGATATAAGCGCCTACGTCCCATAAATCTCAGGGAGTCTAGACAGACAGGTCTGAGTCGCATATGGACCCGTAGTGCAGATGGCCTGGTGCTGATGGATCACTTCCAGGCTCTTTTTTTTAGTGTGAGAATCACTCATTCGCTTTGGTAAGCGGCCACTGAAGACGAGAGAATTCATGTCTGGTGTATCCGTTTCACTGTCAAACTTCTCACTTACTTAAGGGAAAGTGTCACGTAGGGGCAGTGCTCTGATGGTATCATCATCACTGAAAACGTTCTGGAAGTATTCAGCAGGTCAGTGAAATTGGAGATTTCTGGAGGTTGCCTTAATGAGGAAAGCATTGATTCGCAGGACAATAAAGTATATTTCCATGTAGAATTATTCAGATATAACTGCTTGCAACAATATCACAGTATCAGTTCTATATCAAACAGTATTTTATTATTAGTAGTAGTAGTATTATTTGAATTATATATAATTGGTTTAGAATTAGGTGCTTTTTCATGGATGAAATGCAACTGGTGTTTGCCTTTCAGGATTATGACTTCGAACATCTTTTCTGTGTGCAAAATGCATTAAAGTGTAACTGCATTTTGTCATGCATTTCGTGTCACATAATTCATTCAGTTCATGAAATTGGTTACACTTGGTGGCCCATACAAATCAGCTCTGCAGCAACCTCTCCCATGAAGCAATGCAAATTCACGTTTTTATATACGACTTATATA